TTTACATTTCTCCATCTGTAATAGAGTGACTATAGGACCAGTTTGATATAAAACTATTTCATACCATATAAGTAATTAAGCGGTCCCCGCTCCATCTCAACTTCAGTTTGGGGTCCTTGGCCTGGAAAACATTGAAGACCCTGGAATAGAGGACTAAGGTTGAATCTATTAGAAAATATAACTCTGCATTGAGAATAGGGCTGGGTATTTTCACCAAAGTCTTGAATCGATTCGATTTTGATTCATGCAGTTCTAAATCGATTAATTTCGATTCAATCTGTTTTTACAATAATGAAAGTGCTTCAAATGTGTTTCAAAACACTTATGCATTTTATTTTTTCAAGTCATATTAAACACAAAGTGCAAACTTGTAAATCAGACAGTTTAAACATGAGATGTGAACAAAATTGTCTCAAAAGCGCAAACTTGTTTGTGAAAAAGGAAAAGTGAAGCCTCACTCGAGGAAGCAGCTCTGACACAGCAGCAGACATGCAGGGGCTGCATTATCTTCAATGCACCATATTTGCAGCGTTGTCTGTAACAACTACAGGGTGTTTGCTGGTCAGCCCGCGTTTGTTAATGTCTTCAGTCAACCTATTGGCTATATTTGCAGCTTTCTGGCTTGAAGTCATCTCGGTGGTCTGTAGGGCGAGATGCAAGGCACCATTCATTATCAATGGAGAGGGAAGTCGCCTTAATGTCACATATCCAGCACATTATCTTTAAATCCAAAATGGTTCCAGACATCAGACTTCAGTTGGGACAGCTTGCTGAGCGGTGTGTTACTTGGGTCGGCATTTGCACACGCCTGCTCATTTGAATGTGAACGTCACGCGCATCACTATAAAACTAATCGATCTCATTCATTACGCCTCCATTTTGCTCAAATGTAAAGGACTCAATCCAAAATCGATTAAATCGGATTTTTTTTACCCAGCCTTAATTGAGAACTCATTCTATTGAACAACTTGGTCACATGGAAACAACTAACTCCTTAATAAAATGTATAAACTACCAATAATATCTGCTCTGAGTTTCTCACATCTTTGAAATGTCGTACAAATCTCTAAAACAGTGGTGTCCACATTAAGTGCACAGGGCTGCTCTTTGCCATGATGAAATTGCATTTCAGCAAAGACAAACAACATTGGATTAAAAAGCTAAGCTGGGCCAAAAGAACTAAAGGAACTAAAATAACCCCCACCCCCCCAGTAGTGTTCTTTGACAAACATGGATGCCTCCAGTAAAGCACGTTCACATGAAAATTACTCTTAATTAAAAACACTTAACTTTTAGTACTTTCAGAAGTTTGAATTCTAAATATAACCGGACTTTTCCTTGAAGTACAGTAATTAAGTAAATGTACTTTGTTACTTTCCACCACTGCATGCAGTGTTTACGTTTCTAAAAGCCCCGTTAGTGTTTAGACCAACAGACTGAATAAAAACATTAGAAACCTTCATGTTCCGTTTATTTTGCTCCTATCTGACCCTGAGGTTGACCTCTACTGCTACCTTCACCTTTTCTGCAGCTTTGCTGACGGTTTCTGAGGAAGTCAGAAGTCGCTGCAGCCTCAAACACAGGAAGTCTCTGCTGATTTCCGAGCTTTCTATGGACCCCGTTCCCATGGAGACCTATGCCAGTCACATCACCAATGCCGCCTGCAGGTACACCCAGAAATGGGGGCCGGCTTGACATCCATCCAAGATCGATTTAGGCTGAACAGCTGACATGTCTGCTTTGAATGCTTGATTTTTCAGAACCGTGCAAGATCTTCAGCCTTGGACGTCTCCTCAGGTCCCAGACCACCACCTTACCACCCATTACCCTACGATGGGCCAGATCAGCCCACGCACACGCAAATCCATGAGCCTGGACATGGGCCAGCCTTCGCAGGCCAACACCAAGAAGCTTCTGGGTATGGGAGGGGTCCGGCCATCAGCAGTCCTGCACCTTTCATCTAAAGGTTTTCTGATTCGTACATTGTCTGTGTGTTGGCCAGGCACCAGGAAGAGCTTTGATCATCTCATATCAGACTCCAAAGCACCAAAAAGACCAGAGATGGAGTCTGGGATGACCACCCCTCCCAAGATGAGGCGTGTAGCAGAGAATGACCGTGAGATCGGTAACAGAACAGATCTTAGCAGATGTTCTCTAACAGGAAACACACATCAGCAGCGGCTTAAAAAAACAACAACACACTCCTAGGAAAGGAACTGAAGCTTCTAGAAGCCTCTGAACAGAACCTAACACACTAAAACATCTAGAAATAAGTTAACATTTCTTAAATTAAGTATATTTACCTTTATTTTGAGCAGGTAAATAAGATGTTTTGCCAATGAAATTAGTAAACTCACTCTTAAAATAAGTTAATTAGATAATATCTACTTGAAATAAGACGATTAAATTTTTTTTCCTTTCTGATTTTTAAATGTAAATTGTCTTGTTCAATTGGAATAGTGTCCCAATTACTTCCTCAATTGAAGAAAAAATACACTTATTTAAAAAAAGACCAATTTATATAAAAATTTTTAGCAGTGCAGTGATTTGCCCATTTCACTAAGGGTCCGGTAGAACAGAACCTTCATGCTGCTTCCGATGTGGATTTCCCTGTTTTCTTTCTTTTCTTCCCCAAATTTTTTCTTTAATGCCCTGATCTCATTCCCTCCTGTTAAAGAAACCCAAAGAATTGGAAACTCTCACCTTCGGAAGGTCTCCGTATCCGAGTCCAATGTCCTGCTGGATGAGGAGGTGCTGACGGACCCAAAGATCCAGGCTCTGCTGCTCACTGTGCTGGTGAGTGCTCAGGCCCAGTCGCCGTCTCTCCTCCAACCCGTGGCCGTTCTCATCAACCTCCTTTCCTCCTCTGCAGGCCACCCAGGTCAAATACACCACAGACGACTTCGACCAACGCATCCTGTACGAGTACCTGGCTGAAGCTAGTGTTGTATTTCCAAAAGTTTTTCCGGTCGTGTAAGTTCTACATTGATTTAACTTTATTGATTTCACAGTAGAGAAATGTAGCCGTTACATCAGCTCAAAGAGTCAAAAAGAGAAGAATAATGTGCCAAAGGAAGAAAAAGGTGCATGGGATTTATACAGTTTATTGGGGGGGAAATTATTTAGAAAGTCAGATAAACACAAATCAAATGAACATTTTGCCAAATAAAACAATCGAACGTCCATCAGAGCCAGCAGTACTTCACATGGCTATGCAGAGAGAGGGCTGCTGCCGATAGGCTAAC